GGAAAGGGGGAGGTTCCCTGCCCCACCCAAGGGAGGGTGGAGCTGAGCAGGAAGAGGAGAAGCTGAAGAAGAGACTGAGGAAGGAAGCAGGATGGAGCAAGGAGACCTGGAGGAGGCGCATGGAGCCTAGAGACATGTGAAGAAACTGCGCTTGTCTTTTGGTCGTAGACTGGGTGACACAGATGTGGGTGAGACCCGTGGGGAGGTGACAATGGCAGCTTTTATCTTGATGTTCATTTTGCTCTTTTCCTTCCGGGCTTGTCCAGTTGTTTGTGACCCTTTTCTGTGGGTCCCCACTGGAAGATGCTTTAGACTTGTGGCAGGCCTTGGGGCCTTGCTCTGGGCCAATCCCATTTGGATGGAGTTTTACCCACGAGGGGACGGGTAACTTTGGGTGCTTAATTTAGAAACTAGATTCTTTGCCTTACCTGTATTGTTTCCTAGTTTTATTAAAGTTCCTTTTCATTAAAGTCTCCTATGTTTTGTGTTGATGCGGCGGATGGCAGAACCCATGTAGAATAGGCAGGTTTGCGGGGTTTTGGGCTGACCCTCTCCCTGTCCTATAACAGATTTGGCGTCCAACGTGATTTAGGACAGAGCCATCCGTGGTTAGTCAGCCCCATGGGGAAATTGGGCTTCCCTATGCCCTCTCCCTGTCCTATACCAGTAGGAATATTTAGGAGACACTGGGGCCCCACCTGTCTTCTGTGAAGACTGTGCAAGACAGGGCCCGGGGATCAGAGGGCAGGTGTTCAGAGCTCGCTTGTGGGAAGACAATAGTGAGGTCGGGGCTTTGCCTGCGAGAAACAGTTGGGGGAGAGTTGAAATCAGAAATTATCTGTAAATTACTAAAATGTGTACTTGTCAGTGCTACTGATATGCAGAGCTTAAGCTACATCGTTGCTGTTGAAAAACACATTAATAGCAATTATTGTGGCATTTGAAATTAATGTTTTGTGCATATTAGGTAGAGCCATAGTGAAAATATTTCATCCTTGATATCAAAGATTGTTATAGACACATACTGAATGAAGAAGTCCTGAACAACAAGATTTATTTTTGAGGAATAAAGTATAATATACATACATATTTGATATGTGTCTATCAAAGCAAGTTTTTGCTTCTTGTTAAGAATTTTATCTTGACACAGAAACATGATCTAATTATTTAATGATATTTTTATGGCATGTATCTATATATTCAAAAACATTTCTACACATAGATAATATAAATGCTAAGTTGTCAAAAAACTTGTTTGGTTTTAAAGATGCTAATTATCACTTAACACTTGAATATAAAGTTTCTTATAATTAATTTAGCTTCTCCTTTTAGTTTATTATGATTATTATGATAGTTCAGCTTTTTAACTTTTCAGTTGGTATGGAAAAGGAAATTTCATAGTAGATGAATCCCACAGAAGACGTGAACACAACTTAAATCCAGTGGAATAGGATTACAGTGTATTTGTTGAAAGTTTTTTTTTTTTTAATTGTAGATCAAAGAGTGTTGGACAAATTCCTACATTTTTGTCTCACACTTTTATTTGGGGTGCTATTTCCTAGATTAAACAGCTAATTTTGTCTTTTAAGTCACTTAACCACTGACTTCTATGTATTGAATTTTTGCGGGTGAGAGGAGGCTATTCAAATGATTAAGAAATATCACAGCTGTTTTACTTAGTTTTCGTTTTCAGGTATACATGGGCAGATAATCGTTCTTTTAAACAGATATTCACAGGAATTATTCAAGTCTCAGTCTTTCTTTCCCTCCCTCCCTCCCTCCCTCCTTCCTTCCTTATAAACTGTATCTCTCCTTTCCCCACAGTAGATGATACTGCAGTTGGCATAGTAGATTCCGGATGAGTGTTCTGACGCACAAATCCTGGACCTGTGCCCTGCAGGCTGCCGCCGGTGTTAGTTCTCGTGGCCAAGTTGTGTTAGAACTCAGTGGTCCTCACTGGACCTGGGGCTGCTGGAATCCTCGGAGTCCTGCATTTTCCTTTGCTTGAACATAGCAAGTTTCGCTGCCGGAGGGGACATGCATAGCTGGACATGAAGCCCACGAGGGCTAAGCAGGAAACCACTTCTCACTGAGTACCAGGTTTCATCTTCTGAGGGCTCCAGGGCAAGGAGAATGCCTAGAAAACTTGTATGTTTCCCTTTTTGGGAAAAGTCAGAACCTCACAATCTACAATACATGTCGAAGAAGTACATAGATGATTGTCCTCTGGATTCTTTTGAGGAGTCTAGGAAGCATCTCAAAGGACTGGTGTATGGGGGAGGCACTGGCTGGTGGTATAGAGTGTCACCAGTTCAGATCTGGATTCTGAGCTGCAGCTTGGGCAGTTGGAGCTAGCCATCTGACTTGGGGTGGAGGCTGTCTGCAGTTTGCTCAGGAACACAGTGTCATACAGCTGTTTGCTGAGAGGTCTTTCCTCTGTAAATGGAAAGGTGCGGGGGGAACTGCCCATGTCACTTGGTGACTCATCAAACACCAATGTGTGCTGGCCCCTGGGAGCCAGCACAGGCAGAGGGAAGGGGGTCATAAGGTTGACTACCCCTTTCACTTATGTGAAAATTAATTGAGTCTGCCTGATATTCATTGACCCGGTCTCTTTAGCAATCATGTAATCTATCAAATCTTCACAACCTTCTGAAAAATGGGCACCAGTGTGATTTTTTTTTTTATCTTGGCCCAAGAGGCGGTACACTGACCTCTCTCTACAGGGATGACCTGTTTAGTGCATGAACAGAAAAGTAATATGGCAGAATGTGGCCAGGGCTTCTCAGATGAAGGGGTGATAGGAGTCCGTACCCCAGTAATAAACAAGCAAAACCCACATGCTTATAACTTAGGATGAGTGAGTCTTCTCTCAGAATGTATTCAAGTTCATATGTGTTGGTCTGCAGTACTCAGGAGGGTCGGGAATCTGAAGTAACCCTTGTGTAGAGATCACTGGACAAAGTCAGACACTTTTGGACATGGAGAGCTCGAGTTCAAAAAGTTTCAAGACATCATCACTGCCATGACCCAAGGGCTTGGGAAACAGTTTGGAGTTGAAATCCGGTTCTTTCAATTGGAAGCCCACTGGGTGGCAGTGAAGATGTCTGCGAGCTCACTGAAGATGTCTGCCTTGTTGAGCTCAGACTGTAAGAACCAAGGAAGAGGAGAAGAGCCCCTTTCAGGACACAGATGTATAGTGAAAAGTGGAGTAAATCGTGTCAGGGGTGAGAACCAGGATGAACTGAGGCCTGGAAGCGAGTGGAGGACAGAAAAGGCCTGCACTCTTGGATGAGAGTGACAGAACAAGGACTGCGTGGAGCCACTGCTGCTGGGGCGGCTGGTGTGTGTGCAAGGGAGAAGAGGAGGCTCAGCTCTGCTTCTGCAGGGAACATCGGGACGGAGAACCATCGTCCAGTTGCAAAGGGCACTGTTAGATCCACACAGGAAAGGAGAAGGCAGCACCAGCTAAGCCATGAGCACCTTGAGGACTAAGGGGAGGCTGGTCCACCTATGTATGAGGATGTTGGCACAAGTGGACAGGTGAGAGGTGAGCAGACGAGAAGCAAAGGGGTTAATGTGTGAAGAGAACTGAAGGTGGATACTGTGTTAATAGGGAGGGTGGAAACCCCATTTGATCCCCACTCAGGGTGAGGTGGAGAGGTCACTCACTGCCCTCCACCCTTGGGAGTGGGAGCCAAGCGCAACCTTAGTCCTGCCCTATCATACCTGGGCATTATTTTGTCCAGCTTTTACCCTCTGGCCACGTGTGTGGTAGAGCTATTTCCAGGTATTTCAAATGTCCTGGTACTTCTAACAAAACGGCACTTAGAGAAGGAATGAAAATTTCCCTAAATCAGTGCAAATATGCTAGAGTTGTCAACCAAGGCAGACTATTGAGACTATTTGCTGGAAGCCTCCTGTGCTGTTACTTTGGCAGGGCCTGTCCGGGCAGACAGTGCCAGGCAGTACTGATTCCTGCCTCTGGGTGGCAGCATTGTGTGGCGTGAGCCTCCCTGATGGCGTCCTGGCGGTGAGAGGTGATAGATGCTGACTTCCTGTGAGTTGTGGCATGTAGCGTAGTCAGATCTCTTTGGATGCAAACAACAATTTAACCAAGACGATTAATTAGCAGGTCATGTTGGGGGTGTGCAGGAGTAGGCGCAGGGAGTGTAGATCCCCGGGTCAAAGGGATGATGGGAGAACTAAGCCTGGAAAACAGGGATTGAACTGCTTCAGAGAGTTTCCAAAGTTTCCCAAACAGAAAGGATTTGCCTAGGAAGAATCCTGCGTAGCATAAATAAAAACCAAACCACCTGTTGTCAGTGCTAATGTCCTACTGATCACACAATCCTCCCTTTTAATTTGCAGGTTTAAGAACTTGGGATAAAAGAGGGTCTTGAGTCCAGTGCAGCCAGCACTTCCTGAGAGCCTGTTCTCTGTCACGCCATGATGCTCATAAGGCCGTAAGGATAAATTAGAAACACAGTCTCACCCCAAGGGGCAAAGAGTCCGGTTCAGTAGTGGGGTGACAGTGAGCGGGACCAGGTCAGGCTGTGGGTGGTGCTCCCCTTGCCCTGGACCTTGGCTCAGGACTGAGACGGGGTTTTGTGTGAGTAGGAGCAGGTGAAACCTACCCCTTTTGCTCTCTGGGCAGCCTGACATCACATAGCCCGCGCATAGCACAGCCCGGACTCCCAGGGAGACTTGTCAGTTCGAGTCAAGTTGACTTGAGACTTGTCAGCTCAAGTCACCCAGAGCAGGGTCTTGGGTGAGGGGACTTTCTAACATAGCCACGGTGTGTGCTGCCCCACGTGACCAGGGCCGGTCTCACTGCCTGTTGCTTCCTCTCTCTGCAGAGCCCTTGGGTCTAGTTGACTGGCCCAGCCAAAAGGGTTGCTCTCCCATCTCTCAGCTCCTCCCTGGGCCAAGTCCTCAACAGCTCCAAAGCCCCGAAGATGGTCTACCTTGCTTAGCTGCTCCAGGCCTTTCCAGTTAACATGGCTGCGGGAAAGGAGGTTCTGCTGACCTCGGGAGCTGAAAGCAGATGGTGGCTTAGTGACCCTATGCGGGGCAGGGGCCATAAGCCAGTGCTGCTGGAGAGAACAAACCACCTCTGTCCTGAGGCTGCCCTGGGCAGAGGCAGCCAGGAAACAGTTTGTACTGAGCTGGCACTATCAGCAACCCCCAACAATCACAGAGGGGAGAAGTCTTGGGCCCAGGAAGTGTCCGGGGAACAAGGGCAGAGCACCTTCACAGAGGTACCTCAGCTCAAGAAGATGCAGGCTCAGGAGAGGGGACACAGTGGCCTCCAGCAGCTGACCAAGGATGTCCCCAGTGGCCCAGCCGATGGCACAGTCTTTGTAGGGCCCAGCGGAGCGTCAGGGGAGCAGAGAAGCGCCTTCAGCAAACCAGCCAGGTGTCCAGCAGGGAGACCTGGGTCAATATCTGTCTTCCAAGAAGGTGGATCTACAGATACCCTGGGGAGCTGTTGGGACTCATCAACATGGCACACATTCCATGTTGGGGTCAGCTTTCAGATTCCAAGCTTTTGGTGGGTGATATCTGGAACTTGAAAACACTGCCACAAAATGCTCCTCTCTGTACCACTTTCTTGGGTGCCTCCACACTGTGGTTCAAGCATATCATGGTGCAGGTCCCCATACCCTTGTCATCTTCCCCAACTGTCTCTTGGACCCTCCTGCCACCCACGTTGACCTCCCTGGGCCTGTCTACCCAGAATTGGTGTGCAAAGTGCACACCAATTTTGTCTAACTTCTGACCTAGTCTTCCACATGCGCTCCCACCACAAAAAGGAGCATGTGGGGCCTGACCTGCATTCTAAGAAGTCAAGAGAAGAGGCCCTCACATGCCCCATTTGCCACGAGTACTTCCGGGAGTGTCACCATCTCTCCCGGCACATGACTTCTCACAGCTAAAAGTGACTGTGCAGCAGACCTGTAAGTGTGGCTTCAGCCTTGACTGGGAAGCAGAGATGAGGCTCACCGGGCCTTCGTTTGCAAAGGGTATTCCCACAGTTGTCTGAAACACTGCCCCCACTGGAGTTCACAGATGAGCAGCTCCGCCTTGATTTGAAGAGGACCACCAAGGCCCTGTGATGTGCTCTGATGTAAAGTCATGAAATCAAATAACGCACTTTGCTGGTCCAGGGTCTGATGACCGATGGCCACAGGGTGATTCTAACAGCAGTAAAAGTGTTCCTTTTTATTTTTTTTTAAAGATTTATTTATTTATACAAGAACTGAGGTACAGACCAGATGTGCAGGAAGGTGAGAGGATTCACCAGAGACAGAGCAGGGAACAGAACAGGCAGACTGACGAAATATACTGCTGAGGGGAGCAGTAGGTGTGACAGGAGAGGTCTACTGCACCATGTGGGTCCCTCACCAGCCGGGATCGAACTGGTGCTGCAAAGGCTGCAGACAGCTTCACAGCGCTGTGTTCAACCGCCTACACCACCAGGGGAGGCCCAAAAGTGTTCCTTTTGGATGGAAGCATGTTTGGCACTCAGCCTAGGCTTGGAGATAGAGAAATCTGCATTCTAATAGCAGTCCTTTCACAGACTAGTCCTGAACTTGGACAAGGTGCTTTAACCATCTGAATCTCCATTTGTTTACCTGTAAAATGGAGATGACCACACCTGTGTCTTAGGGGTGATGTGTGGAAAACAGCCAGCATGGCGCCTCACTGACGTTTATCATCAATGTCTGGAATAGTCAGCTATTGTTATGTAACAAAATCTCAGTGGCAAACTACTCAAAGCATTGATTTCTTAACTGTGGGTTTGTGATTTGATGGGTTGAACTGGGCTCTGCTCCAAGTTTTAGCTTGGATTTAAGGTCATGCTCTTTTTATGGGGCCAGTGAGCTACCTAGATCATGCTTCTCCATTGGTTGAGCCAAGTGCATGGGGGGACAAGGCCATGAGAGAAGCATATCTCAAGTATATCATTCTGCTTGGGTCACTTCCACTAATATGTCCTTGGCCAGGTCCCACAGCCAAGCCTAAAGTTAAGGGGCAAAGTGAGCACCCTGCCCATACTGAGTAACTGGGTGTATAAGGGGAGCCTGAAATGAAACCAGCCTGCCACCTGGTCTGTGTTTCTTTGTACTGAGTATGTGAAGAACATGTGTGTGAGAGGAGAAATGGAAAAACACTCATGCACGCACACACACCCATGTGCACACACAGATACCTTAGCTCTCAGGAACCCAGCAAAATATTAAGGCTTGAAACATTGTCGGGATTGAAAGAGTTCTGGGTACATTTATTAACAATATAATGCATGTTGGGTTTCTCTCAGTAACTCTTTAGTTTAGTCACATTTGTCATTATTCCTAATAATGCAGACATTGGCTCTTACAGTCTGATGTAATAGGCCAGTTTGTGTGAAAGCCATTTGCAGGGAGGACGTTTGAGTCAATGTAGTTCTTTTGACTGTTGTTCACTTTCCTTTCAGGATTTGTTCACTTCACATACAGTTTCCGACCCTCTAACAGGGTCTCCATCTTGGAGCTCAGGCTTGTGCTTGGGAAGGAACTGATGGGCGCCTCAGAGGCCAAGGAGCCGTCTAAACTGCCCCTGAACTCCACCTCTTCTTGCCCTGTCTATGACACCCACTCTGTCCAAGACGGCAACCTGCCCCTCACCCCACTGACTAGTGAATTTGACCCACAGTCCTTGTCTTTTGGGAGAGACAACGGGAGTCCAGTGTGACAGACGGATGCCTGTGCCTGGGCACTGGGCGCATGGGGTGTGCCCACATCATATTTGTGGGTAGGAGAGTGCCCTGGGAGGCCTGAGGCGTGGGGCATAAGCTGACCTCAAAGTTGAGGTGATGTTAACTGGGAACTCAGTGTCTTGACAGGAGAAGGGGGGTGGCCCAGAGCTGTAGACATCTCTGGATGCCATGTTACCTGTGTGGGGAGGTGAGTCTTGGAGATGGGGAGATAGGAAGGTCTCAGAGGGGAGGAGTTTGGGCCAGGGCTCTGGAGGTCTGGCTCTGAGCGGCATTGTGAGGAGGCCTCGCTGCAGTGGGAAGAGGAGAGGAAATGGACCCACTAGTTATTTCCCTCTGCATTTGGAAGGAGCCACACTGCCACCTGCAGGAACCAACAGAGCACCTCAGTTTCCATGGGGAGACCCCAACCTTGCCTGAGGAAGGCCAGGATGAATGCTCCGGAGACCAGCCCTTTGAGAGCATGTGTCTGGAAGGGAACCTAAGCCGCCTTTAGGAAAGGGCAGGAAAGAGTGTTAGGCAAAAGGCAGACTTCAGTGGAGGCCGGAAATCTGGACTGTTTGTGAGGTTAGTGGTCAACAGACTCAGTTGCCTTTTAAATGCTCATGGTCAAAAAGTCATGAACTTAAGAAAACATTGGTGATGCAGCATGGGGAGGAACAGAAGCCACCAGAGACCCCTAACTATGCTGCTCCCAGTTCTCGGACAGGCCAGGTTCTGGGCTTTGCCCTGCCAATCTCACGCATAAAGCCCTAGTCCTCTGAGCAGAGGAAGAGAACCCTAATTACTGGTTGAAAGTCAGCAGGAGCTATCCAAAGGCAAATCGTGAGTCCTTCCTTTATTTGGAAGGCGATGGCACCCCCTGGAGGCGGATGGCCTCTCTGCGGGCCGCTTCTCTTCAGAGAGGGTGTTACACACTCGGGCATTTACATAATGTTGTGATTTGTAACAGAGGTTGTGTGGGAGGTTTGACCATCATATAGTAAAATATGAATATCATAGTACAGACCTTTTATTTTAAAAACATCATCTTCCGATGAGTTGTGCCATTTCCTTGGAATTATTTTCGGAAACCAATTTTGAACGGGGATTCGGGAGGCAGTATAGCTGGAAGGAGGGCTAGATCATGCCTTTCAGGTGTACATGACCACACCACACCCACCACCAAGGCAAACACATTCCTATCACCACAGTTCCTTGTGTCCAGTCCTGACTCCCCCTACCCCAATTCCTCTGGTAGTGTCAATTCTACAGCAGATTTCTAGGGTTTATTTTTTTCTGACCTTTTGGGTTTTTTCCTCTATATTCCAATATAAGATACCACCTGGCATTTGCCTTTCTACTTTTAACATTTTGCTTAGTATAATACTCTTCATTTCTATCCATATTGTTGCAAATGAAACTGCCCATCTTTGAAGTGAGCTTGACATGTATATACACCAGTGACACTATCTCTACAATCGAGATAAAGTCTGTATTGCCCACATCCTCAATTTCTCCTCATGTGTCTGTGTTATCCAACCCCCCCGCATCTCCAGCTGTGCACACTGATCTGCTTAGATGCACTTTATAGATGCATCATCACTATAGATGCACTTTCTAGAATTTTATGTAAATGGAATTATACCACGTGTACTGTTTTTGTCTGTCTACTTTTTCTTAGCACGAGGATTTTGAGATGCACCTGTGCTGTTGAATGAACCATCAGTTTATTTTTTATTTTATTGCTGACTAGCAGTCCATTCTATAGATACACCACATTCATTATCCACTAACAGGCTGATACTGCTTCCTTCCAGTGGTAGTTCCTTTCAGCATGTCGCTATTACAAAGAGCACTGCTGTGAAGGTTAGAGTATATGCTTATGCATGAGCATGGGTTTTTGTTTTTATTTTTTTTAAAGATTTATTTATTTATTCATATAAGCAGTGGTTACAATCAGAAGTGCGGGAGGGTGACAGAATTCACCAGAGCCAGAGTGGGGAACAGAACAGGCAGACTGATGAAGTACACTGCTGAGGGGAGCAGCGGGCAGCAGGAGAGGTCTGTGCGTCATGTGGACCCTCGCCTGGCAGCCGGGGATTGAACCGGCGCTGCAGAGGCTGCAGGCAGCTTCGCAACCTAGCATTCAACCACTGCGCCACCGGGGAGGCCCATGGGCATGGGTTTTTATTTTTTCTCGGATCAGAATGTGTAATTTTTGTTTTAAGGAACAGTCTATTTTCCAAAATGTAGTTTTCAACTATCTCAGGAGCTGAGAAGTACTGCTGTAGATGTGGAAGGAGAACTGGTAACATTTATTCCTTGTTCCCACTTCTCAGCTGACCATGTTCACCATGAAAGAAAAACAGTAACTGGTATCCCAGAATATAGACTATTCCAGCTGTTAATCACTCTCCTTCGGAGCTGTTCACAGTCCAGAGAAGACAGACCTCACTCAGGCATGTGGAAGCAGAAGGGAATAGAACTGCAAGTGCAGCTCTCACTGAAGCCTCCAAGAGGCACTGCGTATCAGGCAATGAACTAAGTTGGGAAAAGGGACTTTAAATCGGGTGTTTTAAGGTACCAGGGGTACAGAATAGTGGCCGAGGTCCTATTAGCAGTGGGCATGATGCCCACTTCAGTTCTCTGCAGAATGGAAACCTCTTGGAAGCATGTGGTTGTTCTGCCCCTTGCCTACAACTAACATCTGTGCAGTGGGGGCACAAATTATATAAACAATGAGAGCACGCTGTCAGCCCAGAGACAGCGTGGGAGAGCACGGGCCAAAGAGCTTCTTGGATTGTATGATTTTCACAAATAAAGACAAAGAAGTTTTGAATCTGGAGACAGTTCATGCAGAACAAATGATTTTTTAATCAGGTCTGTGAGAATAGTAGCCAACATTCAAATGGGCCTCCTGCTGCCCAAATCCACAGGGCTCGAGCAGCGTTTGTTCACAGAGAGGTCTGCAGTCACTGGACTCACTCACAACACACATCCATGGTGATTTCTCCTAGCCGCCATTCCTCCAGCTTTGTGGATGAGGAAGCTGATACTCAGTACTTGCACAAGATCACAGAGCTGAGGAGCAGTGGGCCAGCTGAAGGAGGAGGACACGTTGTCATCCTCTGCGGAGTCCACACACACTCCCCAAGGCTTTGGGTCCTGTGTCTATGTAAGACCCCCAGGCATGGACTT